GCCCCAGCCAGTGTTCCCCTTCCTAAGTAGGCTTCAGGGAGGGGAGAGCAGAGAAAGAAAGAAACTAACTTTAAATGTGTTCTCAAAGCCCCCCCCATTGGCCGGCTTGTAGAAGGCATTTGTCTCTTTAAATCCCTTCTCCAAGCCAATCCAGCTGGCGTGGGAGGGTCTTGGAGAATGCATTTAAAGTTAAAGTTGCTTTCTTTCTCTGCTCCCCCCCCCCCAATCTCACGCCTACCTGGGGAGGGGAACACTGGCTGGGGAAGGGAAGACCGATTGGGGAGGCGTGTCTCCCTTTCACATCCCGCGTCGCCCTGTGTGAAAGAGCTGGATGTGGCTCCCGAGCTGCACTCTGGCCACCCCTGCTCTAGAACTACAGGTTGGGTGGGCTATACGAAAGAAGATGAATGCCACCCACCCCACTGCGACTCTCCTGCAGTTATTAACTTGTATCAAGTCTGGACTGAATGCCGTCTAGGATGCACGACTGTGGCTGAAAAGACCGCCTCCACGTCAAGGTATCCCCATCTCCTCCACAATACGGAAGACTATTTGTCTGTTATCTACATAAGTCATGTATGCAGCCCCACACAACGTGATGATGTCAAGAAGAGGACATTTCAAGGGAATGGCAGAGAAGTCAACATGGCCGCATATCATGTCCCGAGCAGTGTTCCCTCTAAGCTGAGTTAAGTGTGAGCTACCTCACAGTTTTTTAGCCTCCAGCTCACAGATTTTTGTCTTCGCTCAGGAAGGATGGCTCCAGAGCAAAATATGCAGTAGCCAAATGGCTCGCTCACAACTTTAATGCCAGTAGCTCACAAAGTAGAATTTTTGCTCACAAGACTCCACAGCTTAGAGGGAACATTGGCCCCGAGTAGTTCTCTTCTTAATAGCCTACCTGGTCCAGCCCCTTCTTTTGAAGAAGAAGCAAACAATCTATTTTTTTTTCCCTGCAGTTAAGCGGAAAGCAATTTTCATTCCCATCTCTACAAGGAGCAATTACAAAACAAATGACACATGCATTTGAAACACAAGTGTGCACGCTTTCAGGTCATACAGAATGCCTCTTAGGCTGGCTGATTAATAAGGGGGAGGGGGGAAGCGGGGAGGCAGTAAACGTTATTACAATTGTCCTGACGTCCAGTCACTGTGATTTAATTACTGGCATCCTGGTTTTAAATACTAGTTCATTTTCATTCTGTGGCTACTTGGCCATTCTTTTTTAGCCAGTCAGCTTTGTCTGCTCACCCCTTTCTATAGTTATTGCATTGTCATTTCTTAATGAGTGCATATTGTTTTTGTTTCCAACTGTGTTGAATACAACTCACCATCAACGTTTTAAGCACAAGATGGGCAGCCGTGTTAGTCTGTCTGTAGCAACAGAAAAGAGCAAGAGTCCAGGAGCACCTGAAAGACGAACAAAATTGGTGGCAGGGTATGAGCTACCATGTAAGCTCCTCCTCTGTCACAGATTTTGTTAGTCTTGAAGGTGTTCCTGGACGCTTGCTCTTTTCTGCTGCTACGGACAGACTAACATGCCTGCCCGTCTTGATCGATCTCCATGGGCGTGAAAGCTGGACGATGAGGAAAAGCTGACAGGAAGAAAGTTGATTCATTTGAAATGTGCCGTCGGAGGAGAGTTTTACGGATACCGTAAACACGGAAACATATTGCTGGAAGGAACCCCGAGGGTCACCTAGTCCAACCTCTTTGCGCAATGCCGGAAATTCACAGCTACCCCCCCCCCCAACACTCCACCAGTGACCCCTGCTCCATCCCCAGAGGGGGCAGATTAACTACTAAAACAGGAATAATGTCGCCTACTGTTTTATTTCATTTTATTTAATTTGTATTCCGCCCTCCTCGCCCTGGCAGGCTCCGGGCAGTTTACAGAATGTGTGTGTGTATTAAGGCAACAAGATATGTTAAAACACAGAGAATTACATTAAAGCCACACATATAAAGTTTAGCTATTAAGGAACATAAGTCTTAATAAAAGATGGCGGCCTTCTCTCAGTATCCAGATGGTCGGCTACCGCCATAAACCGGGTTCTTGCCAGGCCATTAGTTATTAAATTAGAGCCGATGTCGGGGGGGGGGGGCATGATGTTAAAAGGCAGCACCCTAATCGAAAGCCTGGCGGAAGAGCTCCGTCTTACAGGCCCTGCGGAACTACCAAACCCTGCAGCCATTTTTGGCCGCCTCACACAGAACGCCTGTGCCTTCCCGGCCTGTCCCAGACTTTCCGCTTCACCCACGCCTCCCCCCCCCCAAGCACCCACTGAAATACCTCTCTGCCACTCAGGCTCTCCTCCAACTAGGCTAGGTCTACCACCCTGAGAAACTTCTTGTTCCGCTTAAGCAGTTTGCTGCTGTCGTAAAGGGCCGCATCTCTCCCGCCCACAGCTTGCCAATAGACCCCCAGCCTGGCTTAGAGGGAAGAAACTCACCGAAGCTCCTAAGATGATGAAGATGTGGGTATCTGACTGGAGGAAGTCATTCCCCTGGCACAGTTCTCGCCGGAGCATCCCACAGACGTCTTCGAGACTGAGCTCCTCCTGGATGAGATGACGGCTCATAATGGCAGCGTTGTTGCCTGGGGGAGAAAAGGAGTCGGTCAGGTGAGTCGACGTGGGCAGAACCCCGTCTCCTCCCACCCTCTCGCCATCCCCTCCCCACCCTGAGGCAAGGGATGCCCAGGTTAGCAGCTCTTCCGGCTCCTTCTTCCCTCCTTGGCACAAACCACATCAATAAATACATCGGATCGATCCCTTGGACACAAGTCTCAGCTTGCTGCCTGGGAGTTCAGCTCAGCCACGCGGTTTTGATGATAGAACGCAAGTACTGGCAAAATATCTCCAAGATCTCTCTGGAGTTCGGGCTGCCAGACGTCACCGACTCAGATCTCTACTGCGAGACAGGTCCAAAAGTGCGGAAAAAGCAGGTTGGAGGTGAGAAAATACTTGGTAAGAGAAAGGAAAACCGGGAAAAGTGACCTTCTGTGTGCGTATGTGGTCTATTGGAAACCCATAATCGGATCTGCCACTGATAACCCCACCTATAAGGAAGGCCAAGCGCCGAAGAGTCCCTTGAACTGCAAGGAGATCAAATCAGACATTCCTTAAAGAAATCAACCCTGACTGTTCCCTGGAAGGCCAGATGCTGAAGCTGAAGCTCAAATACTTTGGCCACCCAATGAGAAGGGAGCACTCATTGGAGAAGAAGACCCTGATGTTGGGAAAGACTGACAGTCAAAGAAGAACTGGACGGCAAAGGGTGAGATGGACAGTGTTAGCAATGCAACGAACATGAAACTAAGCAAACTCCAGAGGACTACGGAAGACAGGAGGGCCTGGCGTGACGTGGTCCATGAGGTCGCAAAGAGTCGGACTCGACTGTGCGACTCAAGAAAATGATCAGATCTGGTGATCCTAAAGAATAAGGGCTTTTGAGGGTGGGTGGAACATATATTACATGTAGTTCCCAGAAGCCAGCCTCAGGGTCCGCAATTTAAACATGAAGACCAATACAGAGGAAAGGGGGAAATTAAACGTTGTGCTTTCTTGTTGCTTTCCCACCAAAAATTGCTGCTTTTACTCTCTCTCTCTCTCTGTGGGGTGGGGTTATCAGTGACAGATCATCACAAAGGGGGGGGGAGTTTAAAAATCCTCTTTCCTCCCCGTGCTCATCTCCCCCTTAGAATCACAGCCCTTATAGCTGCACGGCAGACATCTTTTAAGGGGGGGGGGATGGGGGAAGAGGTTTGGGTTAAAAATAAGCGATGGGGAAAGAGATTTGGGTTTTGCTATTTTATTTTTGGCTTTCCCTGGAAATGTTTATAAGTATTATTACAAGCTGCCTTGAAGCACGAGGAAAGGCAGGATATGAATGTTTTAATTAATAAATAAATTGGGGGGGGGGTTAATTACAGGAATGCAGAGAAGCAAAACTGGCGTCTTTGACTGGGGGCAATTTCTGGGACATACAAAGTTCAAGCCACACGGGCGTTCTCCTTACTGCAACAGGCTGTGGCAAGCGACAGAGAAGGAGAAGTTGTGAAGAGGAAATCTCACACAGTTGAAATCTCAGGCCACAACAAACCATGGGCTGGAGGCGGACAAAGGGTCCTCGGAGCCAGCGTCTGCCCACGTGTCCCTGGAGCCGTCTGGCAGCTTGAGTGCCATGAACAGAGGAGGAAGTGTGCTCTAGTGGGCAGAACCGGGAAACAACCAGGGCTCCCCATGGAAGGTGCGGCACCACAACAAAAAGAAAGGAGGGGAAGAAAACAGAGACCTCATTGCCCAGTCCCCATCTCTTCCCTTTGTGCGTGTGTGCCCTTGCGCCTCTGCTTGGCCCACCTGGTATCATCCTCCCGAACCCTAAGCCTCTCAGGTCTGCATCAGTGGTGGGGAGAGGAGGAAATTGTACACCAATATTCAAGAGAGAGTCGCGAAAGGTGCCTTATAGCCACACCAAGCTCAAAACAGTGCGTATATACTGTTTCATCTAACTGATATTGATTGGTTTGTTTTACCTTCGTTTAAACTGAGATTTCGTATACTATTTTGCTGTAAGCCGCCCTGAGGCCTTCTTGTAGGGATGGGCGGCCCAGCACATCCAATTTAATAAAGAAAAATAAACAAATAAGCAAATAATAAAAACACTAAGACCCTGGCTACTACCCCTTCCTCTTTAGCCCCTTGCAGCCCAACCCCTCTTGCCTCCCTTAGTCCACCCCACAGGACAACCCACCACCCTGTTCCCACCCCTTTGCACCCCACACACGCGGTCCCGTCTCCTTGACCCCACCCCCGCT